AATAAGTCGAGGACTGTGTGTGTGTGTGTGTGTGTGTGTATTAATTAAAGGTTTATAAAAAGGAAGATAAAAACTAATACACACTAATATAAAGTAAGAAAAAGAAAAAAGAAAGAGAAAGCTAAAAGTGTAAGAAAGAAAAAAAATAAAACGAGAAAAGAAAGAAAAAAGATACAAAGAAGTAGCTTCCGATCCTCTGCAGCAATTATAAGTACAATCATAAATTTACCTGTTACTCATAACTCTCTTCTTTCTATAGTCTATCCTGTCTAATCATCAAAACCACAAATCATAAATTATACAAAAAGTCCATAAGGGGTTTCCAGTCACCAATAAACATAGATACCAAAGCCTGCCTTTAAAGCAAAACAAAACAAACAAAAAAGTCTTTTTGATGGATGACCTAGACAAGAGGAAACATCCCTCTTGGTTTTGCTGGATATTCAAATGTTTGATATCATTGATCATAGTATTCCTAAGGGTGATCATCATAGGAATTGGAGATGCTCTGTAAAAGGGATCATGGTTCTATTTCAGTCAATATTGCTAAAGAAGAACAAGTGGCAATTGCTCACTGACCTATCCTTTGGAGTTCAAGACTTTATCCCTTTTACTTTTGAACATCTACATCAGCTTTCCTTAAGCTTATGCCCTCCAGCAGTACTGGGACTAAAATGTCTATAATTCCCAGTCAGCATATCCAGGGGTCAAGCTGGATAGATATTACGGATTTATGGTACACATGGAGGGCATTAGTATGGGTAAACTGATTTATATGAAACAACTGAAAGATCATCCAGATCTGGATTGAATTTCACCAGGTATTTAGGATGCTGCAGAAGTCCAGAATAGTTTATAAGTTACAGCGTTTATGCTGGAATGGATGTAAACCCTACAATTTATCTTCTGCTGGTCAACAACTATAATAAAGATTTTGACACTTTTTTTAAGGTGCAGAGAAAATTGTTATTATCTATGCTTAGAAAAAAGTTAAAGGGCTTAGTATAATTTGGACCGAGCAGGATCCCACATGTATTCTAGTTTATAAAACAGTAATCTGAATTAAATTTTGATGAACCTATATAATGGATTTAGACATTAGATTAGTGGGGCCTCTCTCTTTACAATTACACTACAATTGCACTTGGGATTTTTATGCTAGAAATGATGACAGAATGTCATGTAGGATAGGATATTGGTTTACAAAATATATTTACTTAAAATATATTGAAAATATATATGCATTTTGCAAGTATCTGGCATTGTATGTTGTATTTCTCCCCAAAAATCTCAACAGCAGATTTTTAAAATGCACTGTATAATAATACTATAAGTATAGTAAATGTTTTCCCATGATTTGTATCAGTTACTAGGGAATTGTTGCATTTGTTCCTGATTCCACCAAAAGATTACCATTTCTAACTAGTGAAACACCAAACACATTGTTTTGAAGCTGAATTAATTTTTCAGTGAAAAGTGGCTTCCGTTTCTTAAAAATCCTAAGGTAGCTTTTCCTAAATCAGTGCTATCCAGAAGCATTAAGGTCATTCTTGGCACTGTACTCCAACATATCTGGAGCAAGGGCCAGGAGGATTATTTGAATCCAGACTGATTTGAGGAGTCATCTTTATACAGAGATCTACAATATCCAAATATTTAAGCTGTGGAAAAGAAGCTTGTTTGAGTCAGCAAGCATATTTGGAGCAATGGGTATATGCCATGGTGTTCCAGAAAAATGGCTACCTTTTTTTTTTTTTTTACTTATTTGTATATTTACCTATCCATTTTCAGAAGGCAAATGGGAATGTAGCTACTTTTGCCATCCTCTTCAGCCTCTTCTCTACTTCTGTTTCTTTTCCTTTCCTCCAAGGCAGATGGACACAATTCCAAACACACTCTTTTTATTTTTTTAAGGATGCCTATCAGCCTAGAGGCATCCTTGCAAATGAAGATAATACAGTACTAGAGGCTGAAGAAAAATGGATTACCCTTGTTGTACTGGTGATAATTTTTGAGAATATGTTGAACTCCAAGAAGAACACATCATTCAATACTAGATGAAGTAAAGCCAGATTACTCTCAGGAAGCACTAATAATGAAATTAAACCTTCAATATTTTGGAATTGTAAGGCTCCTGTCCATAGAGGTATGAAGAGTCAAGACTGACTGAACAAATGGACAACAAGAGAGGTTGGTACTTAGCAGATCTTGACAGTTCTCCAACAGCTAAGCCAAGCAGGGGCTGCAAGACTAATAAAAAAACACTGGGGCTCCAGGCAAGTTTGGGGAAGTAAAAAAGAAAAAAAGGTTTTACAGAAGACAACAATGGAAAACTATTCCGGTATTGTTGCTAAGGAAATCATATGGACAAATCCACGAAGTCAACAGGAGCCGAGTCTGATTTGAAGAGCTTTTCATATTTTTTAATTAATAGAATCTACGGAAAAACGATGTGTCAGGAATATTAGATGTCCACATGATTGTTTTACCAAGAGAATGTCTAACAATTTCAGAGAGATTAATGTCACTTAACTTCCTTCTAGGCTAGGTTTTACCTGCTCATGTGGACCCATAACATAAAATATACAAAATCCATTCTCAAGCAATGCCTTTCTTAGGTCAACAGAAAGTTTATAAATAAGTTGCAAGTTTCTACATTTTGAAGAATGCTCCATCAAAAAGAATGGTTAAACCAGGAGGGGACAGAAGAAAAAGGTGGTTTGGTTTAAGGCAGTGTTGTCCAAACTTGGCCACTTTAAGATGAGTGGACTTCAACTCCAAAAATCCCTCAGCCAGCATGGCTGGCTAGGGAATTCTGTG